GCCCACAAATTTGGTAAGCTAGGTGAAATGGTCCAATTCCTTGAAAGATACAATCTGCCAAAACTCATGTAAGAAACAGACAATCTGAATAGCCCTATATCTATTAAAGAAACTGAATCAAAAATTAAAAACCTTCCAAAACAGAAAGCACTAGGCACAAGCGGGATCACTAGTGAATTCTACCAAATATTTAAGGACATTCATACAATGTTATTATGTCAAATATATTCAATTAAAAAAATTAAGGAAGAAAACATACAAATTCTTTACAATTTCTTTCAGAAAATAGAAACAAGGAATATTTTCTTGTTTATTCTGAGGCCAGAATTACTTTAAAACATAAATCAAGACATTACAAGAAAACTACACACAAATATCTTTCATGAAAGTCAAAGTGAGAGTTGCTCAGTTGTGTCCAACTCTTTGTGACCCTATGCACTATACAGTCCATGATTCTCCAGGCAAGAACACTGGAGTGGGTAGCCTTTCCCTTCTGCAGGGGACCTTCCCAACCCAGGGATCGAACCCATGTCTCCCACATTGCAGGTGGATTCTTTACCAGCTGAGCCACAAGGGAGTCCAAGAATACAGGAGGGAGTAGCCTATCCTTTCTCCAGCAGATCTTCCCGACCCAGCAATCGAACTAGGGTCTCCTGCACTGTAGGCAGATTCTTTACCAACTGAGCTATGAGGGAAGCCCATCTTTCATGAACATATATGTAAAAATCCTCAAGAAAATACTGGCAAATCAAATCCAACAATTTATAAGAAGAATTATACGCTATGATAAATGGGTTTTGGACCCAATATCAATGTGGTGGATGGAGATTTCCCCTACCACCAAGCAATTCTCTTGACACCAGCTGGGTGTCCTACAACTCAACTCAATTCTTATACCTGGAGATAGCATCAGGTTCCAAAGGCTAAGGGCTCAGTGCCACAAGACTGACTACACTTCAGATGCCAATCACAAGTCCAGGTTGTTACCTGTGCTTCTGAGTAATGGGCTACAGATGGGAAGGTCTCATAATTCCTTTCTTTGGTTTGGTTAGTTTGGTAGAAAGGACCTAAGATGCCAGTCAAAAGTCAATGTTGTTACCTGTACTTCTGACTGACTGGCTATAAATCAGAGGTTCCCATGACCCCCCCTTCTTAGATTCAATTAATTTGTGACAGCAGCTCACAGATGGAGAAGGAAATGGCAACCCACTCCAATATTCTTGCCTAGAGAATCCTGTGGACAGAGGAGATTGGTGGGCTGCTGTCCACAGGGTCACCCAGAGTCAGACACAACTGAAGCTACTTAGCATGCATGCATGCATTGGAGAAGGAAATGACAACCCACTCCAGTATTCTTGACTGGAGAATCCCAGGGACAGAGGAGCCTGGTGGGCTGCCGTCTATGGGGTCAGAGTCAGACACGACTGAAGTGACAGCAGCAGCGGCAGCAGCTCACAGAACTCAGGAAGCTTATTTACTCACTAAATTACCAGTTTATTACAAAATTATTAAAGGATATCAATCAACAGCCAGATGAAGAGATACATATGGCAAGTTCCTGAACAAAGGAGCTTCTATCCCCAGGGAGTTTGGGCCTTGCAGGTTGGCATGTGGAAGCATTCTGATTCCCCAACACAGAAGCCCTACAAATCTCCTCCTTTGGTGGTTTTATAGAGTGCATAATAAATACAGGCATGTCTGATTGAACAACTGACCAAAATTCAACCTCCAGTCTCTCTCCTCTCCCTTCCCTGGATGGGAATGAAAAGTTCTAACTCACATGGTTGGTTTTCTTGGCATCCAGCCCCCATCCAAAACTCACCTCAATAACATACAAAAAGACAACTTTATCATTCTCATCACTTAGGAAATTCCAAGGATTTTAGGAGCTCTGTGCCAGAAATAGGGACAAAGGTCAAATACATACTTCTCATAATAAATCACAGTATCACAACAACCAAGTGGTATGCAACACTGATTCAACATTCAAAAATCAATTAACATAATCACATCAATAAACTAAAAGAGAAAAATCACATGATCATATCAACAGATCCAAAAAACCATCTGACAAAATTTAACATTCATGATATAAAAACTTCTAGTAAACTTAGAGGGGAAGTTCCCCAACATGATAAAGAATATCTATAAAAATCATAGAGCTAATATATTTAATGGTGGAAAAATTTGAAGATTTCCTGCTAATACCAGAACACAGCAAAGATGTCCCATCTCACCACTGGTTTTGCAACATCATACTAAAAGTTCAAGCTAATTCATTAGGACAAGAAAAGGTAATAAAAGGTATATGAGAAAGGAAGAAATAAAATGTCTGTGTTTGCACATGAAATGACTGTCTATGTAGAAGATCTGAAAATGATCAACCAAAAAGCTTAGGAACTAAGACACACAATTATAGCAGAATTGTAGAATACCAGGTTGCTACACAAGTGAACTGCTTACCCAAATATCAGGAATGAACAAATGAAATTTAATATTAAAAACACAATACCACTTACATTAGCATTCTACAATATGAAAGAGATACAAATACATACAAGATCTACATGAGGAGAACTATAAAACTCTGACCCACAAACCTGAAGTAGAACTAAGAAAACGGATAGGAAGGCTAAATAGTGTCAAGATGTCAGTTCTCCCCAACTTGATTTATAGACTCAATGCAACCCCAATCAAAATCTCAGCAACTAAGTTTGTGGATGCTGACAAACTGAATCTAAAGTTTATATGGTGAGGCAAAAGATCCAGAATAGCCAACAGAATCCCGAAGAAGAACAAAGTTGGAGAACTGACATTACCAACTTACTATGAAACCATAGTAATGAAGACAGCATGGCATTGATGAGAGAACAGATCAACAGAACAGAACAGAGTCCAGAAAGGGACCCTCATCTATACAGTCAAGTGATTTTGACAGGAGCAAAGGCAATAAATGAAGCAAAGATAATGCTTTCAACAAACAGTGCTGGAATAGACATCTACACACACACACACACAATGAATTTAGATACAGAACTTATACTTTTCACAAAAATTAACTTAAAATGGACCACATACTTAAATGTAAACCAAAACTATAAAACTCCACACTGGAGAAAACCAGTGTTGAAACACCAGTGTAGAAAGCACTAGATGATCAGAATTTCTGAAACTCAACAGTAAGAAAACAAACAACCCAATTTAAAAAGTGGGTCAAAGATCTTTACAGACACCTCACCAAACAAGATTTAAAACAGCAAATTTGTTTATAAACAGCAAATCAGTATACGAAAAGATGCTCCATATCATGTCATTAGGGAAATGCAAATTAAAACAACAATCAGGTACCACTATCTACCCATTTAGAATAGTCAAAATCCGGAACACTTGACAACACTAAATCCTGGTGAGGATGCACATCAGCTGGAACACTCATTCATCACTGGTGGGAATGCAAAATGGCATGGCCACTGCGGAAGACATTGTGGGAATTTCTCACAAAACTAAACATATTCTTACTATATGATTCTGCAATTGTGCTCCTTGATATTTACCCAGAAATGTATGTTCACACAAAAACGAGCTTTATTCAGAACTGTCAAAGCTTGGAAACAACCACAGAGCCCTTCAATAGATGAATGAAAAAACTGTGGTAAACCCAGACAATACATATTATTCAGCACTACAAAGAAATAAGCTATCAAACAATGAAAAGACATGGAAGAAACTTGAACGCATATTACTAAGTGAAAGAAGCCAACATGAAAAGGCTATATACTGTATGTTTCCAACTATTTGAAATTCTAAAGAAAGCAAAACTATGGAAACAGTAAAAAGATAAGTGGTTGTCAGGGGTTAGGGGAGAGAGGGATGAGATGGCAGAGAACAGTAGATTTTTAGGGTACTGAAACTACTGATACAATAATGGAGACTACGTATCACTGTACATTTGTTCAAACTCCTAGAACGTATAACACTAACAGTGAATCCTAATGTAAAATACAGACTCTGTGTGATTTTGATAAGTCAATGTAAGTACATCATTTGTAACAAATGGGTGAACATTTGTAATTTCACTAGGTGAAGGATGCTGATAATAGGTGAAGGATGCTAGGTGTAGGGGTGGGGTTATATGGGAAATCTCTGTACCTTCTGCTCAATTTTGCTGTGAACCTGAAATTCTCTAAAAAATAGTTTTGTTTTGTTTTTTAAAAATCAAGTAACAATCTCAACTGTGACAGACTGCTCATCATCACCACCTTGTGGGCAAGGAAGCAACAACAAAATATAAGACATTTTCAAAAATAAGAAAATCTTCACTTATTCCATCAAAACAAGGCTTACATCAATTAAAAGACATTATTTCAGGTTTGACTAAGAAAGAAAATACTGCCAACTGAACTATGATACCATCAATTGTAAGTGGCATTCTGTAAGTCACAGATTTTTAAATGAGTCTTAAAATCAATTAAACGTAGTATTCTGATTTTCTTCAAGTTCCTATCAGTGTTGGAGACTAAATAAGAACAAAGCATCTTAAACTGAAACACAATAAATTTAGGAAATAAGAGACAGTAACACTAGGACAATCCTAAAAGAAATATGAAAATATTCTTCCATACTTTTCAACCATTGATTTTAGGTGATTTAAGGATAGAAATATATAATGTTGGATTTTAATATCTTCCAGGATTCCATCTAGCTTTAAAATTCTTTTTCAGATTTTAATAGTTCTACACATTATTAAATTTGTCCTCAGAGTAAATGAAAAATTTACTGACATGACAAAAGGGGTAAATACTTTCTGAACCTCCTGAGAAATACTTTCAAACATTAATATAATCCAAGTGAAGGCAGGCTTGCAGCCCAGAAATGCTGACCCCAGAGTGCATGCTCTTTCCACTCCAGGACACCAGGCTGCCTCCAGCATACCACAAGGGCAAACTACATGGTTGGCCTTGATACAGATTTCAGACAAGCCCATCCCACTTCCAACATACCTGGCTGAAGCTTTAAATCGCTCTAAGAACTGAAGTCTCAGGCTCTCATGTCCAGGGAGGTCAATCAAGGTCAGGTTAGTGCCCTAAGGATAGCAGCAGTAATATTAATGTTTTGGTACTGATTCACACTCACAACATAAATTTTTAACAACTTATCTCAGATATGTGAATGGTACCTAATTAATTAATCAAAAATGTCACTGTAACTGATTAATGAATCATATGTTCACAGAGCATCCTCTATAAAGCACAGAAGGCTATGGAAAATGTAAAATTACAACTCTGATAAATGTTCTGAGGGTATGTGAGAGACTTGACCCTATATGGGGAAGTCAGGAAAGTCCATCTGGAGCTGGGGAAATATACCAGTATGAATAAAAATAAAAACATGTGAAAAACAGTAACAAATACTCACAAACTAAATAATGTGATATAAGAACCTATACTTTATCAGATAGCATGTTATAGGGATATCCAACCTTTATAAAAACAAAACACCTTTTTATATTTCTACTGCAAGCTGATTTTAAAATATATGTCCACCAGACACACCATTTTTTTGTTCTGTTAATATTTTGTGTCAATTGTTGATTCAGGTGACAATCACTGAACAAGGCGGGGTTGTGTCCCACTGAGCAGACTGATAATTGCCCACTTACATGCTGCTCATTCTAAGCTTTCATTCTTGGGCTCAAGTTCAAGGCAGATGTGGCCATGCTCAATGTTAAGACTTGAGCATAGCCCCACTACATGTATCAGACCAATGGATCATTTCTCAGATGTTCCTACTTTCTCCACAGCGAGCCTCAACCACTATTTAGGTGGAGGGAGTCAGCATTATGCACAGATTTGACACAATTACTGCTAAATATATTGTGACTTGTAATTTAGTCTGTGTGATCTTTTATAGGTAATATACAAAGTACACAAGACTTTTTTTTTTTTTTAATACTAGTTAAGAGTCTAGGGACCTCAGGTTGGACCCACTATCACACTGCATAATCAGCATCACATCATATACTTTCAATATAAACAATCCATAAGATATATTACTAACTCAAGTCATAAAAAAAAGAACAAAAGAATGTCATTTGCAGCAACAAGGATGGACCTAGAGGTTGTCATACTAAGTGAAGGAAGTCAGATACAGAAAGACAAATATCATGATATTGCTTATATGTGAAACCTAAAAAGAGGGTAGAAATGAACGTATTTAAAATACAGAAGTAGAATAACGGATGTAGAAAGCAAACTTATGGTTACCAGGGGATAAAGGGGGGGTAGGAAAAAAATGGGAGGCTGGGGTTGACATACACACAGTGCTATATATGAAATCAGTAACTAGTCAGAACCTGCTGTATAACACAGGGAACCCTACTCAATACTCTGTAAAGACCTACATGGGAAAAGAATCTAAAAATAAAAACAAAAAGAGTGCATATACATATATGTACAACTGATTCACTTCACTACACCTGAAACAACACAACACTGTAAATCAAGTGTAAAAGTGAAAGTGAAAGTCGCTCAGTCGTGTCCGACTCTTTGCAACCCCATGGGACTATATAGTCCATGGAATTCTCTAGGCCAGAATACTGGAGTGGGTAGCCCTTCCCTTTTCCAGGGGATCTTCCCAACCTAGGGATTGAACCCAGGTCTCCCACATTGCCAGGTGGATTCTTTATCAGATAAGCCACAAGGGAAACCCAAGAATACTGGAGTGGGTAGCTGATTCCTTCTCCAGCTATCTTCCTGACCCAGGAATCAAACCAGGGTCGCCTGCGCTGCAGGCGGATTCTTTACCAAAGAGCTAACAGGGAAGCCCTGATAGCAAGTATACTCCAATAAAATTTTTCTTAACAATCTCCCAATATTGAAGACTAAGGAAATCAGAGGTAGCAATTAACAAAATTATCAGTTAAGAATTCTCACTGGGTAACTGAAAACATTTTTACTGTATAATAATAAATATAGACATGTCCAAAAATATGTTGTCAGAAAAGAGTCAAACATACTGTGTATGTTAATGTCAAGTTCACTTCAACAGTAATTTCATTTGTATCTGTGTAACAGAGCACCAAACAATTCTGACTATTTAAAGAAATTAAAAGTGTGAATTTCAAAAGGTCAAAAAAAAAAAAGATACATTTACTATTTTGAGAGACAAGATCTAAAACTGGGAACCCTGGGTACAGGGATACAGAACCAGTGCGTGGAAAAACTGTCTTCCACGGAACTGGTCCCTGGTACCAAAAAGGCTGCGGACTGCTGCTCTAAAACATAAAAAGGGTGGGAAAAGAAGTTAAAAAGAGGATGTTTTACATATTCAATAGAAGCATGCAAGTCTCATGTGTAATGTTAAGTTTTCTGACAGTCATATTAAAAAAAGTAAAAAGAAACAGGTAAAATTTTAATAAGATATATTATATAATCTATCTAAATTATCTTTTTAAACATATAATAAAAAAACCTCAAAAAATTGATATTTTACATTCTTTCTTTCATCTCAAGTCTTCAAGATTGGGTGTATATTTTATACTTAACAGCAGCCCTCAATTTGGACTAGTCACATTTCAGACTTTCATTAGTCACAAACAGCCAATGGCTACTGTGTTGGAAAGCACATACCCTGGAATACTCTACTTAAAATATCCAGTACGTGTGTCCCAAGAATTAAAGATCTCTCAGATCTTAAATTTCAAAATCTGAATCCTTGAGAATTTAAAAAGGTCTGAGTCAGAAACACTGTCATTACTGAAAAAAGAAAAAAATATCTCTAAGACATTTAAAAGGATGTCTCTTTATCTTAGCTCACTCACTAAATACTTATTAAGCACTAAAATCAGCTTGGCAGTCACTATCTACATTCTGGAGACATACATGTACATAAAAAGTCCTTCTCATGATTTCTTCTTGGTATTTTTTAAATATACTCATATATAATCTTTAAGATTTCCACTGCAACACCATTTGTAAAAGCAAGACTGTAATAACAAAAATACTAAATGTCTATTAATAGGGCTCTTATTAAATAAAAACTCAACATGAACTGAAAGTAAAAAAAGTAAGTTTTCTGATCAGTTTGCTTCCACCTTCAACTGTGATTATGATTTACTTTTCCATGTGTAACTACAAGATCTTTCTGTCATGTCTCAAAACTAAAGGCTTTAAGAAAGAAAAAAAATTGTATGGTACAGTCACATAACGGAGTACTCACAATATTCAGCTCATAAATCAACCAGGTAGTACTATGTATGGAAACGGGAAAGAAAAAAATGAGAACAAACCCAAGCTCTATCAATTATATTATTAAATTTTAAAAAAGGGAGGGGTGTTATGAAAGAAAAAAGTAAAGAGAACAGATCTGTTTGGATAGCACTGGCCATCTGGAAGGCTACACAGGAAAATGGTAAGTTACTACCTCCAAGGAGAAGACTTTTAAGGAGGGATAGGAAAAGCAAAACTACTTTTCACCAAATATCCTTTTAACCTTTTGAATTCTGTCCCATATACATGTACTAAAGAAAAAGGCTTAATGTTCACTCTTAAGAACTCAAGGTAAAGCTGGAAAGACACAGAAATAAAAGCTAATAAAATGTGATGTAATATTAATATGCATACGGTACAACAAAGAAGCGGAGAGCATGATTAAGTTCACTGTTTAGATGATCAAGAGAAGAATTTGTCACATGCACAATATTTATCCATAAAAATAAGCTAAGAATGGTACCTATGCCCTCAGACTAATTCACCCTAGCAACGTCTTTTCCTGACACCAAAGTAAAACTGTCAAGACTTCCCACATTCTAGGAACCTCTTACCCTGTTGTTATTGACTTTGTAGGCAGCAGAGCTGTCAGTGATGGAAGTCTGAGTGTCTCTGTAAAGGCCTGTTAACAACTGTTAAGACAAAACAAAACACAATATGGGGGGGGATCTGAGCAAACATATAAATAGCAAATCTAAAGAGTGTAACTCTGCTCTAACTCTCCTAGGTGTCAAGTCAAACAAACAAATGTTGCTTACAATAGCTAAACAGGACCATATTGATTTTTTTTCCCCTTTGATTGTAGAAAAATCTAATTAACTGCAAACTTCATTTCCCTCTCCTTAATGAGAGGAGGGGGCAAACTATTATTTTTAAACTATTTTCAAATAGTACTTTCAAATGGTTAGTGGCCAAATTTACCAACCTTCTCAACATTTACAATCATCAAAAATGTTTAGAGATTATATTTCTTTAGTGGAAAGGAAAATAGCATTCAAAAAGAATTATAATAAAGAGAAAACCTCCACTAGTCTTTGTAGCAAAAACCAAACATTTAAAAATACTACACAGACTAGAAATAACTATTAGTGAAAAGAAGCCTAAATAGCCAATAAAGTTTCTTTGACAAATTCTCAGAAGAATTATACACTGCATACAGATTAATGTCTTCCATCTATCTCTGGTAAACGCAAGAAAATAAAAATGGCCAAGAAATTCCAGTTTAAGAGTCTTTTCGTCCTCCCAAGTGAGTCAAAAATTAATTCCCCAATTTGTCAGCAACAGCTTTTTTCCCAAAGTAAAACTAACATGAATAATACGGTGCTCTAAAATTTCCTATCAAGTGTTAAGAGAGGTATAAATCAAAGCATTTACTCTGACAAAAAGCAATGTTTTCCCGGAATCACAAAGGCCCACAAGAAGAACAGCTCTCTGACTGCTCCTTCTGCTCCGGATGAACTTCCAGAACACTGTGAAATAGAGAAAAACAACCAAAATGACGCCTTGATTATCAACAGCACGCAAATATAATTGGGCTGGAGGATTTCCTCAATGAAGTCTACCATAGAATGCCTCATTCATCTGGAGCTGACTTTCACTGTTATTACCACCATTATAAAATGGTTGTTCTTGAGGACTCCGCTGAATGCCAGCCACCATCAACTGTCAACTTTTCTGCATCTGCATCCCCTACCCTGCCAGTATACTCAAGTGCAACCTTGCCTTACTAATTCTATATCCCCAGCGCCCAGCTCGCAAACACAGGATGCTCAAACTTGGAGCGAAAACCACTTGTGTATTGGTAGCAAAAGCAATGGAAGGGGAAAACGGGGCGCTCAGGCGGTACAAGGGCTAGCAACCTGTGCCCAAGGACCAGGGCGTCACTCTGGGGGTTGCGAGAAATCCCCTCTAACGCTGTGCTGTTTCTGCTGCTTCAGGCAGGAAGGCAGGTGTATATAAGGTCTTAGTCTCCCATTCTAGACGCCCCTCAGGTGCCACCTCTGCTCCGCGGTCTACATAAGCCCAGTCCGAGCTCGGATCCCCGCCCGCCCCGCACCCGCCAGATCCACCGGCCGCCTCTTTACCTAGCGTCAGCAGCACCGCAAGAAGCGCCACCACGACTGACAGCAGCGTCGGGTCCCTCTGCTGCAACTCCTGCCGCAAAGAGTCCAGGTATGGCTGGAAGGCGCCCCCAACACCACCTCCATTCCCCATCCGCCGGGAGTCCATGGAAGCCATGGCTGAGCTCACGCTACCCGGCACCGCGAAAGCAACGTGGCCCTGGGCTCTGCGCAGGTCTGCGAAGCGGAGCATCACGGAAGTGGTAGTTCCTAAGCTGTATTTCCTCCTTCGCAGGCCGGTATGCCGAAGGACCTGATGGGAGTTGTAGTTCTCTTTGACACCGAACTCCCAGCGAAAGACTGGCTGAGCAGCCAGCCAGAATGATGAGCGACACACTCATCCTTTAGGATATGAGTCAAATGTCCCGCTCTCTTCATGGTTGTTGACAGAATGATGGGTGAATAAAATGAATGGCTCAAGAAACCTCCCCTGAGGATTTCCAGTCGCTCCCTTCGTGAGGGAAAGTGAATCTTGTGAGGAACGCATTACACAAACGTTCATCGGAATATAATGTGGCGCAAGGTGTGACAGAGGGTGTAAGGTGAGGAATGGGGATGCATAAAGGGGCGCTTAAGCCACATGGGTTCAGAGAAGAGCCACTGGAGGAAAACGACAGGAAGTGAGCCTTGAAGGACAAGTTAGCTTCTGCAGGCGTAATAGGAGAAAGGGTGTTCTGTGCAGAAAAGAAAGAGCAATTCAGTGTACCTACACGCGGGTTCAGTCCTTGAGTCAGGAAGATCCCCTGGAAAATGAAATGGCAACCCACTCCAATATTCTTGTCTTGGAAATCCCATGGACAGAGGAGCCTGGAGGGCGACAGTCCATGGGGTCTCAAGAGTTAGACAGGGCTTAGCAACTAAACCACCACCACCACCAACACTGCATTGTAAATCCTGGCTACTTCCCTTAATGTAGAGCTGCCCCTGAGATTAGAGACGTTAAGGGAAGCAGCCAGGAAAATCAAAGAGCGGGGCTGGGGCTGTTGAAAATTGTCACTCTGCCCTAAGTGGCAGACACTACTTTGCCAGACAGGTATGTGGGACCAAGGTGGCCAGTTCTTCAGTTTTTAAGAGAAGCCAGAAAAAAAGGTTTTTAAGGGAAGTATACCAGTTTTTAAATTTCAGCGAGTAATGAAAACTTGTGGTCTAAATAAAACACCTCATAGAGTTAGAAGTGGCTGGTCTGGAAGCTGCCAGTTTGCAGTCTGTCATTAAGCAGTTGTCATTTCAGCAGAATTGGCAGAAGATGAGCAGGAAATGTTGGCAAAAGCTAGACATGAAGGGACTGGGAGATATACTGAGGAACCTAGATTTTACAATGCAATAAGAAGTAAAATAGATTTTACAATGCAATAAGAAGTTTCAGTTGAGAGTGAAATAGTTTATTGGCAGATCAAGGGAGTACTATGGTTTGAGAGAGAAACGACAGGCAGGGAGACCAGGTAGAGGCTGTTGCAGTGTTTTGGCAAACAACGCACAGGGTCTGAACCAGGGAAGTGTGGAAAGTGTGGAAAGGAGGGTAGAGTTATGAGAGACACTTAGAAGGAAAATTTATAGGATTTGGTGGTTAATTGTACAAGCTGAGTTAGGTAGAAGAGCTAGCAAGACTGCATCTGAAACACATGGTGTGTATTGCTGGGAAGATCAAAGTGTTCAGCATGAATGAGAGAACTCAGTTGAAGTTCTTTGGAGCCAGGGACATAGCCAGAATGAAAACTGCCTGTATTTTGTGTACATGGAGTTTCCAGTGCCTCTGGGAAGTCTAAAATCATATATCATGCAGGCGACACAGTAAACAAATGTGAAGTGTCAGCAGTAGGTGCTAGATTTTTATTTGGGAGTCATACGTAAACAAGTGGTTATGCAAACCAGTACAGCCACTATGGAGAACAGTGTGGAGATTCTTAAAAAAATGGAAATAGAACTGCCATATGACCCAGCTATCCCACTGCTGGGCGTACACACTGAGAAACCAGAATTGAAAGAGATGCGTGTACCCCAGTGTTCATCGCAGCACTGTTTATAATAGCCAGGACATGGAAGCAACCTAGATGTCCATTGGCAGACGAATGGATATGAAAGCTGTGGTACATATACAAAATGGAATATTACTCAGCTATTAAAAAGAGTGCATTTGAATCAGTTCTAATGAGGAGGATGAAACTGGAGCCTATTATACAGAGCGAAGTAAGTCAGAAAGAAAAACACCAATATAGTATATTAACCCATATGTATGGAATTTAGAAAGATGGTAATGATGACCCTATATGTGAGACAGCAAAAGAGACATAGATGTAAAGAACAGACTTTTGGACTTGGTAGGAGAAGGCAAGGGTGGGGTGATTTGAGAGAATAGCATTGAAACATCTATATTATCATATGTGAAATAGATGACCAGTCCAGGTTCAATACATGAGACAGGGTGCTCAGGGCTGCTGCACTGGGTTGACCCTGAGGGATGGGATGGGGAGGGAAGTGGGAGAGAGGGTCAGAGTGTGGAACACATGTACACCCATGGCTCATTCATGTGAATGTATGGCAAAAACCACTACAATACTGTAAAGTAATTAGCCTCCAATAAATTTAAAATTTTTTTTAAAAATAGAAGAGGAAAAAATAAATCATGGAGAGCGTGAAGAGTGAGGAGGAAAGGGATGCCACAAAGAAGGCTGAGAAGAGAGAGTCAACAACACAGAAGTGAATCATGTCCTGGAAGTGGTCAGCAGCATTCCTGTAACAGATGATGAGGGTTGAATGAAAAGTGAGCTCAGGGGGAACAAGGAGGGGAGGGTGAGGAGGTAAAGAGGATAACTTCACACAATGAGTGCTTGCTTCAGTTCAGTTCAGTTCAGTCGCTCAGTCATGTCCGACTCTTTGCAACCCCATGGACTACAGCACACCAGGCTTCCCTGTCTATCACCAACTCCTGGAGTTTACTCAAGCTCTTGAGTAAACATCAGTGATTCAGTGATGCCATCCAACCATCTCATCCTCTGTCGTCCTCTTCTCCCTCCTTCAGCTTTTCTCAGCATCAGGGTGTTGGGGTCCTTTAATGGACCGGAACCTGGTGGTACGGAGTCGACGATAAGAAAGTAAAAGAGAGAAAGAGAGAGAGAGACAAAAAAAGACCCGGGGACCTAAGCTCTGATGGAGCAAAGGTGCTTTAATGATTTTTCTATGAGTATATATAGGCTGCAGTACAAGAAACTTCTTTCGGGAATGATAGAGATCAGAAAACCAAACGTACAGCAACCGTTACCAAGGAAACAAGGGGTAATGTTAGTCACAAGGTCAGGAGACAATCCATATCTCAAGAAAGGGGAAGGAGACTAAGCAGTTTTGTCCTAAAGAGAATGTTTACTAAAGGAGACCCAAGCCTGCCTCACACAATGACCTCAGTCCCTGGGAGCAGCGTGCTGTTCCTCTTGAAGAGGGACAAAGGACTCATGAGAGAATGAGAGACAGCACGTAGGAATCCTCCCGTCAAACATTCCCTGACATCAGGGTCTTCTCCAATGAGTCAATTCTTTGCATCAGGTTGCCAAAGTATGGAGTTTCAGCTTCAGCATTCAGTCCTTCCAGTGAATATTCAAGACTGATTTCCTTTAGGATGGACTGATTGGGTCTCCCCGCAGTCCAAGGGACTCTCAAGAGTCTTCTCCAACACCACAGTTCAAAAGCATCGATTCTTTGGCGTTCAGCTTTCTTTACAGTCCAACTCTCACATCCATAAATAACTACTGGAAAAACCATAGCCTTGACTAGATGGACCTTTGTTGGCAAAGTAATGTCTCTGCTTTTTAATATGCTATCTAGGTTGGTCATAGCTTTTCTTCCAAGGAGTAAGCATCTTTTGATTTCATGGCTGCAGTCACCATCTGCAGTGATTTTGGAGCCCAAAAAAATAAAATCTGGCACTGTTTCCACTGTTTCCCCAGTAAAGAGGATAACTGCTCACAATGAGTGCTTGCTAGAGCAAGGCATTGTTCTAAATCCTTTAAATTTGTTAATTTTGTTAATCCTCACAATGACCCACCATCCCAGTTTTCCAGAGGGCAAACTGAGATAAGGGTTGAGTAACTTATCCATTGATCCCAGGTTGTTGGGCTTCTTTATGCTTGACTATATGCTCTAACACAGTAAAATTCATTTTCCAGGCACAATTCATCAATAAAGGGAGGCAATAGGGACGCCAGATTAAGGAAAGATGTTTAGGATATGAAGTTAAAGTAAGTAAACCAACTAATGTGTGTGTGTGTGTGTGTGTGTGTGTGCATATATATATATATATATATATATATATATTTACTGTGCTTAGTCGTTCAGTTGTGTCCAGCTCTATGCATCCCCATGGACTGTAGCCTGCCAGGCTCCTCTGTCCATGGGGATTCTCCAGGCAAGAATAATGGAGTGGGTTGCCATGCCCTCCTCCAGGGCATCTTCCCAACCCAGGGATTGAACTCGGATCTCCCACATGGCAGGCAGATTCTTTACCAGCTAAGCCTCCAGGGAAGCCCAAGAATATTGGAGTGGGTAGCCTATCCTTTCTCCAGGGGATCTTCCTGACCCAGGAACCAAACCAAGATCTCTTGCATTGCAGGCAGATTCTTAACCTGCTGAGCTACCAGGGAATTTTTTGGACTCACTAAGGATGTTGTATCTTAGTTCCCCAACCAGGGATGGAACCCATGCCCCCTGCATTGGAAGTGCAGAGTCCTAACCACTGGACTGCCAGAGAAATCCCCAACTATTTTATTTTAAATTAGCATTACAAATTAAAACTATCAGAACCAACAGCAATCTTACTGCATTCTATTTCTTTTCTTTCTTGTGGTCCTGATCCCTGCACTGTATTCACCACCCAACATACATACACACACACACACACACACACCTCCTTTATATTAATAATAACTTCTGTTAGTGACTAAAAATGCAGTGAAGGAGGAAGGGCCAGATACAGAGAACACCTACCAGAACTGTCCTCGCTGTATAAGGATTTTCAGTCAGAGCATGTGAGTGAACAAGTACCATTTTTGTGGTGCAATTTGGGAATGAGGAAGCAAGGGCTTGATAACACATGGTCATACTCTTTTTTTCAATTTGTTTTCTGGGTAT